AACTAAGTTAAATATTAGAACAATTTATCCACGTGACAAGCTTAACACACAATCATGTTCATCTTCATAATTCCTCAAACAAATATACCCAAAGGATTACGTTTGGGTAATTTTTCATCAATATTCAGGCACATGTTGATCCCTCGCATACTTTTCTACTTCATTCCTTCTCGGTCTGATTAATCCTATTATACTTGTTTGTTAGCAATTAACAACAAAATTATTTTATAGGGTTTTGAATTTTACCTTATTTATATAAGGTTGACAAAATATATTAAATTACTAAAAGCAATTGTTGACTACATTTGCTTTTTGTGCCAATCATACTTATTTATTTAATTTTAAGAAGCTGCTGATTGCTGCTTATAGTAGTATGTAGTCGTGGAGAACCTAACGGGTTGCCGGGGCTCCGGCTCGACGTGCAGGAGAAGGAACGGGGTGGTTTTTAGTCAGTAAGAGTCTGACACTCCCTCCCGCCTCACCCAGGCGGGAACAGTCATTCGATGATGATCCCCCCTTAAAAAAAATACTAGTATATAACAATAACTCTACCAATTTTAAAAAAACAAGTTAACCTTTGGAAATTCCCTGTAAAACACGCGGTTCACTGAAGTAGTTACATAGATAAGCAGTTCGTTATAAGTTTAATCTGAAAGCTGGTGGAGGAACGTTCACTCGTTCTGAAAGGTTCTGCTTTGTTACGTAAACTTCATTATAAGTACCTGAGCTCAGTTTTTCAGGGAATTTCAGCGAGTTACACTTTGTTCAGACGCTGTAACTTTGTGTAATTCACAGAGGATCTGTTCAATTCATCGCAATCAAGTGTAATCTAGTAATAGTGCTTGGCAACTCTGAGAATTATTAATTTTAGAATTTAAGGAGATTAACAGACTATTGATCGTACAGAAATTGGTCGAGTTCAAAGCGTAATTCAGACTTTTTTCAGTTTTTTTGAAATTTTCTCAATATGAGAATATCCTTATCATATGACCCATCTATGTCGAAGATGTATTAAATTCTAGCTCCTTGCAGCGATCGCAGTAGGAACAGGATGGTGTTTAGTCAGTAAGAGTCTGACACTCCTTCTCGCGCGATAGGTGATCCGTCAGCTCGTTTACCGGCTTATGCTATAAAATAATGTGCACCATACTCTGTTCGGATTTAAGAAGATGCTATGTTATGTCTGGTAGTAACCCTGCCTAATTCAGTTTCAGCAGTAACTGAAATTTAACAGCAAATGAATGTTAGTACCTACACTTCCAGCGCTCTGTGCATTCTCTACGGAATTAAATTTCAGTAAATCGTTTGTGAGTGAAGTCAGGGAGGGCACTCACTCTTCACTTACTGTATCTGACTGTATCTGACTATAACTCCACCTGGAATAGTAACACTGACTGGCTGCAAGGGTCAATGTTATCATTTCTAATTATCTATTATTAATTGTACTTCGTTGACTTAGGTTCAGATCGGATTGGTCTATGATTTGTATTACGCAATTTGATTTAGTTATTATACTTATATCTATTTTATTGTTTCTCAAAGATTGCGATGGATTTAGCACAATTTAGCTGATTATTGCTAAGTGTTTTGTACCTGACTGATATATATTTACTTATTCCAAAGAGTACCCTGTGTGGTGGTATGTACCCTTGCCTTGCCAACCACGGGACTGTGAGCATTCAATTAAAAATGTATATATATTTCGACTAACTAACACAGCATTGTTCAACTTTCACAGTTTAAATGTATGTCGACATGTATGCCAGCCCTGAGTCCACCTAATAATGTTTTCCCAGTACTGGGAACTATTTCAAAGCGCAGCGCAGTCCGTATTTACTCATATATTTAAACTTCGTACATTTCGCTCGCTTTCTCGTTCATTCATTCGTTCACATTACGTTCGGTCCCGGTTCCGTTCATAGGTCAAAGCCCTGTTTATCACTGAAGTTGTTTACGAAAACATGTCAAAGAGGTATTTTACAGGGAATGTTAATAAAATAATTCAACTGAAAATGTAAATAAAGGCAGCCACCGTAAAAAGCAGCAGAAGTAGATTTGTTGAATAAGTTTTATATTACGTTAGTAAACTACTTTGTACTTATCCCGTATACTTTGTAAAACAAGTTATGTTTTAAACATGTTTTCCTCGAAATATGGCAGAAAGTGTAATGTCATACCAGATTTATCCAAAACAAATAAGTATCCTAATAAAACAGTGTATATATATTACACATAAAATAGAGTCACGAAACCCGATACTTCACGCACTAACTTGTTCCAAGAAGTAACTAGCAACAGATACAACTAGTTATTCTTGCAAGTATCACAATATAACAACAAGTCGGTAACATTACGTGCCAACTATCTTATCTAATAACTAAATAATATCAGTTGAACAAAAGTAGTTGGGGCTACATTCCTATCGCTGGGAAGATTCCCAATGGGCCACACGTGCGTGACGAGTGGGACCTACTCGGTTACCGACATCAATGGCGGACACATCGATCATGTTCACTCACTCATCGCCAATATCATAATTACAACGAATGCCGTACTATTGGAACTCGATTGATGCAGTGAGCAAAATTAACATAATATGTTATTCGTTGACTTCCCGCGCGCGCCTCAAAGAGCCATCAGACCACCACAGATGGGGCCAACAGGGCCGATGCCGATTCGGAGTCGCGGAGAACCTAACGGTTTACCGGGGCTCCGGCTCGACGTGCAGGAGAAGGAACTGGGTGGTTTTAAGTCAGTAAGCCCCACCCAGGCGGGAGCTACATACAATGATTTTCGCCCCTTAAAAAAAAATTCGTTGACTTCATCACCATCATTATCGAAGGCCTGCCAGTGGCCACCGTTGAGCAAAGGCCTCTCATTGCACGGATTATTATTATTTTTGACTCAAATATTCTCGTCCTATCTGAGTCTCAACTGTTAGTTGTTTTAATTGAATTAGTTACTATATGCTTCTGGACCGAACTTGTTTTGTTACTTTTTATTTATTTATTTATTTATTTATTTATTTATGTACACACATTCAACACAGAGGACAATACATAGTAAAAAAACAGAGTAGGTACATAGGCCCCACATATTCCAACTGGAATTTCTTCCTGTGGGCCTGTGGTAGGAAAAGAAATAACAACACTGAGACACATACTGTGTTACACAAACAAGATAGAAATCAATTAATAAAAAAAGTAATAAGACCGAAGAAACCAATAGAAATAAAAATAATAAACAATAAAACAAATTAATATAATTTTAGTGTTTTTACAGCTTTTTAATTTTTGAATTTATTTTAAATTGCAAATAATTTTACTTTATTGTCACTTTCAAGTGCATACACACAAAATATCAAGGCAATAAGTAGACATCTGCCTGGCATATTTTGTTTACAACGATAATAAAAATGTATATTTCTATGTATATGTATATTTATATAAAGACATTATATACCATTTTGAAATCCTCTCGATGAGCTCTAATTTGATGTCCATATTTTTGCAATATTTAAAACGAAAGTGACTCTGACAGTTTAGTCAGTTTATTCTGACAGCCGCCATGTTGATTTTTTTCAATGTCACATATTTAAAAACACTTTTTTACTTCGGTTATCAAGTGACGTATCTAGTCAATTATCTAACTCGGTGGCGTGGTTTAGAAGAAACGAGGTCATAAAGAATATTACACTCATATAAAACAATACCGTTCCTGTAATCGAGTGAAAATTGCTCAATATTGTACCACACATAACATAACATCATGCCTTTTTATCCCCAAAGGGTTAGGCAGAGGTGCACATTAGGCCAGTCAATGCCACTGTACAATGTAACACCCACTTTTCACTATTTATGTTATAAGTCCCATGTAATAGGGGGTGAGCCTATTGCCATAGGCCATATTTGCAATAGGCAATAGACCATGCACCGAGCACAATTCCAGACTCTGTACTACTTATTTAAAAACCCAAAATACTATGCCCGACCCGGGAATCGAACCCGAGACCCCTTGCCCGGCAGTCGCGCTTGCGAACACTCAGCCAACGAGGCATTCATTATTATGTACCATAAACAGTAAATGGTCATTCCCAAGAATTATATACCTATCTATATGTTTTTTTTTAAGGGGGGAAAATCATCGAATTACTGCTCCCGCCTGGGTGAGGCGGGAGGGAGTGCCAGACTCTTACTGACTAAAAACACCCCGTTCCTACTCCTGCCCTTCGAGCCGGAGCCCCGGCAACCCGTTAAGTCCTCCGCGGCTCCGTATCGGCATCAGCCCTATTGGGGCCCATCCGTAGTGGTCTGATGGCTCTTTGAAGCGCGCGTGGAACGGGATGCCCCGAACGCTCGAGTCTGGTTCTGGTCGGGCGGCGAGCCACCCATTCTCGCCGTCCGCAGGTTCGCGCTTACGGTGGCCGGAGATCGTCCCGCGATCCCCGACGCTCGGAGTGTCCTTCGCGATGGCTGGGTTATGAGGAGGCAGCACTTCGCTGCCTCACGCGCCGCGCGTCCTCCTTAGCTAGAGTGACTGCTTCGCAAAAGGAGGACACGGCATCCCAGTCCCCCTCGCTCCGCATCATGACCCGCACTGGGGCCGGACGCGAGAGGCCGCCATCGTCGATCACGTCCTGAGGGCACGGCGGTGCTCAGCCAGGTCACACAGGGCATTTCCATACTGTGTGTCCACCGTGTCCTCATCTATAAATGTATGTATCTTATATTTATAATGTAATTATCAATCATCTATTGCCTACAATAATATAAAATATTGAATGAAAATTATTAAATGAAATATATACATTTATTTAGATTTACTATCGTAGTAAAAACAATGTGCTATTATTTTTAAGGTGGAGGTGTAGTAATAAGGCTATATAGCATATACTAAGTACATATATCTCTATAAATAATGTATTTTATATCTTGTCTTGTATTTAGTATCGTCTCAGCATTCTCAGCAGCCATTCTGTTACAGTAGTCACTACATCTTTCTTATCCATGTTTTGCTTTATTACGTTTATCTCTTGCTTCTTGTTCTAACCTTTTTCTGATCCTTTCTTTCTGTTGTTTCGATCTGGGCAAATAAGTTTTCATTAACTTAACAATAGCGGTTTGTTTTACGTTGGGTTTCGAGATTTCGTAAAGCATCCACTTTGGCAAATACACGTTATTATTGTCTTCGTTATGCGCCAAAATTTCGGGTTTATTTCGCCTTTCACCATTTTTTTTTCCATTTTCTATACCGCTGATATAGTCGTAGTACCCATCGTCCTGTAACTCGTTACTGTCTCCTACATTCGATCTTTCAATATTCACTTGTCCGTTTAGGAATTTAAGATTTTCGAGCACCGTCATGTCTTTCCAATCAAATGTTTCATGTAAGTGACCTAGCCCGTCGTTTGCATTAGATGTGTGCTGTACTTTATGACCATTACTTTGAAACACATTGTCATTGTAGGCCTCGTCGATGGAATCGTAATACGGTGTAACATATTCATTTTCTTTTTTGTTGTAGTTGTCACGATGTTTGCCGTCGCTGGATATACGAGCCGTGTCTTCGTGATGATTTTTGAGCCCATCTTCGTGATGCCTTAATGCAATATTAAATTTACCTTGATTCGCCAACAGTCGCAGTATTTTTTGGAGTTCGAATTCATCTCTCACGTAAACCTCTGTGTCGTCTGCTGCCGGTTTTCCGTTTACGACAGTGATTATTCCAAATATAATGAAGCATGAGATCTTAGCAGCCATTGTTGATTTAGGTAATATATTGTAAGATAATATTTCCTGCTAAAGTTTATAATTATTATAAACTCTCAATGGGTGACTGGGCAGCTAGCTGATGGCGAATAATTGAGCGTGAGATTAAAAACCTCTTAAATATCGCGTTACTGTGAGCTGGTGAGTTTTACGGTTTAACTTGTTCCATGTTAATGTTGTACACTAAGTACCGCATTATACTAACTCCTTGATTACTACTTAATTGAAACACTAAAAATAATTAAACTTACAATTATAATACGATCATAATTAGGTTTTGCCCGTGACTTCTTTCGCGTGGAATAATGACTTTGGTAGAATTTGTATCACCGCGATACAAATTCTACCATAGTCGATTTCCAATTTACGATTAAGATTAATATTGACGATAAAATAGCAATATTATAAGTGTTAGATTATCTAGGATAGTATAGGATAACGTTAGCTTGTAATCATAGGATTAGGTAGTCCTGTACAGTAGGATTGTAGCGCCAGGCTACTATACCGCTGTACACTCTCAAACCATCATTGTACCGAGTTCTAATAAAATAGATAAGAAGAACTCCTGGATTTTAACGCATAGTTCTTCTGTCAATCTATTTTAACGCATATCTGTACTTTAAGGAACACACATGCCAAAGGACATTGCTCGTCGTCCATACATAGTTCGCATAAGAACCAACGGAGAGCTGTATGTACTTTTTTGGTTTCAGATAATGAATATATTCGATTGAACGTAAATTAAAACAACAGACACTTTTGAGAATTCTGAAAAAATCAAAACACTTTCTGATACCGGAGTGATAATTACGTCAATAATTTAGTTCAATTTCTACATAGCGTAGCGTAGCGAATAGCGTAGTAAACATGGAAATTGTACGATGTACTCATCGTTGTACTAAGTAGGTCCGTATCAGTAAAACTCAGCCAGAGATCGATATTTCAAAAGAAAATCAGTCCTTTGTTGTCGCAAAGTTGTTAGATGAAATTAGAAAAGTAAGAAAATGGAAACGAATTGATTACGCAAACGCAGATCAACCACATAATGCGCACATTACTACCAAATGTCATCTGTCACTTCATCAACTGTCAGTGTCGATGTTATTGCTCGTTTCAAACAGCGCTTTCAATCGAGTCTTTTGATAAGCCGTATTATGGTTCTGCGCCAGCATAGCGAACTGTTAGTAACTAAAAATTATCATCTTTCAAGTGTTGAGAACCGATTCTTGTCTGTGTTACATTCTCAAGAGTGTTGTTACAAAAACTTGGCTGTATGACCAATAATACCTTTGCCTGTTAAAAACCTCACATTGAACCAAAAAGTAATAGAACTATCACTTACTATGACCAAAGAGTATAATCAGTATAGGGGACGGAAGCTGAGGGCGGAAGTAAATACATTTTTAAATGCTTTTGAAATTAAAAAGTGTCCATTCTATAAAAATATTTGCAATGTTATTAAGAAAACTAAGAATTTTAATAACTGTTTCATATGTGTTGATTCATAGGTCATATTTAACAATGTCCTTTCAACTCTTTACCACCAGCAGTTAGGCGAAGCGATGTCAATCAGTTAGTCAGTAACAGACGAGTTTATATACTATATATATATTACTATATATATGTATATATAGTAATTAGCCAAATACTTGATAAAGTTACCAAATAGCTAATCATCTGATAAATTACGATGAACACAATTTTAATTAACTGTAATTAGGTATAGTTAGGTACAAAGAAATGGGAACGGTAGATAAGTAAACCGGCTGTGATGAATGATTTTAAATCTATAAAGTTATTAACTAAAAGGATCTAACTCAAAGCACCCTCAATAGACGTGTAAGTTTAAAGAGAATCAACGATGCATATGAAGCAAAGTACGATAGAAACATGTTTCTTGGTCCATTGTTTCACCTCCACCGTAATGAGAGACGGACATGCCAACATCATCTCTGTTCGAAGGGGCGTCGGCACAATATAGCATGCACAAACTATTAGGTAATCTTAAGTGTGGAAGAGCCATATTTCGGCACGAATGGGCCGGCTCGACCGGAGTGATACCACGGTCGAGCAAAAAACTGACGTGGCACAACATTGCATTGTGTTTCGTCGTGTGAGTGAGGTTATCGGAGTCTCAATTAATGAGTCTTCCCAATCCCCGAATCCCAACAATCCTCAAATTTCTAACAAAAGGCCTTTAGGGTTTCTGGTATCAATGGACAGCGCCAACTACTTACCATCAGATTATGATCCGTCCGCTTAATTACCGGCTTATCCTTTAAAAAAAACAAGCAAGGCCCAATGACAGTATCCACAACATGCCCACTATCGAATCGAAAACTATAGTGAACGTGTGTAATGAAAATAATACCATCATTTTCTATTCACCTGCTAATCAAGACATTTATTTTTGTCAAACTTTGAAACAAACCAATACCTACTAATAAATCTCTCCCACGATTAATAACAAGTACCTATTCATTAGTTTTCTTTCCATTGACAGTCAAGAACATAATTAACTTTCTTTAGATTCACATTTCTACAAAAGAAACTCTAGTTTTTGTTTCTGATTGGAATATTGGAATCGTATCCATTAATTGTATTCGGTAAAGATTTAGACCATTAATTCTTATTGACAATAGTTTGGTTTGAATGAGTTATGATCGAGTTTCGCGACAACGGTAGTGGTGGTCATCCATCATGCGAGGTCATGCACTCGCGTGGCGCTCGCTTACGTTGCACGCTGAACTACTCGCGCGTGTCATTCATTATTGACACCACTCACTATCATTCCACGCAGCTCTTTGATCAAACAAATCACATTATAATACCATTGTACTGTATCGCAATTATTAACACAAAATTCGACACGTCTCAATGAGAATTAGATTCGCTACATTTTAAAGAGAAAGCCTCTTTGTGTAAATTTTATCTCAAATTGACTTTATTTCTTTACAATAAAATGTCTACTTATATGTCTCAAGATGAATAGCGGCTTATTCTTTAAAAATAGTAAAGGACTTTGAAATATATTCTGAGATTAGTTTTAATGAAATATTATTTGTTCGCAGCTCACATTTTAATGGCATCTCAATGAAGTAGACTATACAATTATCCCGAGAGACGACGGGATTAATTACGTGTTTCTAATTATTATTTAGGTGCTTCTGAGAAACTACAATAATTGTATACTTCTATATAGAATAGAGGGCAAATAAGCAAACGGATAGCCTTTTTTTGAGGGGCGAAAATCATCGAATGGTTTCTCCCGCCTTAGGTTGGCGAGAGGGAGTGTCAGACTCTTACTGACTAAAAATCAGCCCGTTCCTACTCCGGCGCTTCGAGCCGAAGCCCCGGCAACCCGTTAGGCCTTCCGCGGCTCCGTATCGGCATCAGTCGTACTGGGCCCCATCTATGGTGGTCTGATGGCTCTTTGAGGCGCGCGCAGATCGCATCGCGCCGTAAGACGGATAGCCCTAAACACTGGACGATTTATATGGCAATTGCTGACCTTTTAAAAACTACAATAGATGCTCTTCTCCAGAAGGTCATGTACCTTAGAAAGTTACAGAACACTATTGTGTAATCTGTATTTTTTGTAATCCAACCTGCTGTTGACTGGAGCTTTGTTAGTTGTTTTCACTTCGCTTGGCATCAATAGATAATATTCAAAATAAAGTCAACCGACTGTGAGGACTATTCAACAAAGTATATATCGATGAGTTCCACCAGCATTGTGTGTAAAGGTTACTGTATTATAAAGCTTAGGCCGCACTACGGTGTAACCTCAGTGGTTTAGATATGTTTTAAATGTATTTAAAAATATTGTATTATGTCAAACTAGAAACGTTTAAATAATTATTTTATAAAGTACGTTTAAAAAACTAATTCTTCAACAATTTCGTTTTTGAAGTCGGTTAATGAATGAACTAAAACGTACAGTTTCATATTTTTTGTCTCGTATACATAGGTATAATTATAATAAAATCGGAGGAAAGTGAAAACTGTACACTGTAATGTTTGTCTTTTTATCTGTATGTATGTCCGGGCTAAACTCAAAAGCTACTACATGGATTTACTTCAAATTTTGCATGAATATTACTAACAGGTCGGGTCAATATGTAGGCTATATATTATCACGCTATCACCTACTGGGGAGGAGCTGTGAATCACTATCCCACGCGAACGAAGTCGTGGGCAGAGCCAGTTACAAAAAATACATTTCTATAACAAACTCTTTTCTAAAAACAGTATTAAAATCAGTTCAGTAGATCGCGAGATATTCATGGACAAACATACATACATACATACAGATAAAACTGAATACCATTTATTCTTTGAAATCGGTTAAAAATAAACATATTCACAAAGTCTCGGATATGCAGCATAACGTAATAAATAAAGCAGGATGCATCGCGGTTCTATTACCGGCGGAGGAAATGATATTACGCATACACTCACTCATCCCACGCAACACGTACTGTACGCTCAGAATATTCTAGTAGATCTGGAACGATTTGAAGCAGGGAACTTGATTGTTCAGGGATAATATTTGTTTTATTACTTATCTTAATTTATCTTTGATTGTTTTTTTGTTATGGCATAAGCCGGTAAACAAGCAGACGGATTACCTGATGGTAAGTAATCGGCGTTGCCCATGGACACCTGGAACACCAGAGGCGTTACAAGTGCGTTACCGGCCTTTTGGGGATTAGGATTTTGAGGATCTTTGGGGAGATTGGGGAAGGGGAGGGTAATTGGGCCTCCGGTAACCTCACTCACAAAACGAAACACAACGCAAGCGTTGCTTAACGTCGGTTTTCTGCTCGTTGGTGGTATCACTCCGGTCGAGCCGGCCCATTCCTGCCGAAGCATGGCTCTCCCGCACTTATTGTTAACACATATTCGCGCGTATTTTACCAAATATTTTAGTACCGTATCTCTTATTCCAAATAAAACTCTGCCAAGCTGCATTGTGAACCTTGTTATAT